ACATCTATATTAGTTATTATGGCCAGCTCTGCCATGCTATTTTCCTGCTGTTGGTTGCCTACTTTTGCCTTCCATTCCCTTGTCTACCCCCACTCAGTGATCCCCCTCTACTGCTGTTCCTAGAACCATCATCTTTTGTTATCTCTCTCTAAAATGTCCTTCAGTATTCTTTGTATGGTTGGTTTGGTTGTCATGAGTTCCTTCAGTTGTTTTTTTTGTCATGGAAGTATTTTGAAAGTATATTTCCATTAATTCTGAAAGATAGGTTTTCAGGGTGCATCAGTCTGGGTTGAAAGTTGTTTTCTTTCAGGACTTGAAATACTTCACTCCAAGTTCTTCTGATTTGATGGTTTGTGTTAAGAAGTCTGTTGTGAGTCTGATGGGTTTTCATTTATAGATGACGTGTTTCTTTTCTCTAACAGCTTCTAATATTCTGTTCTTGTGTTAAATTTCTGGGATCTTTATCTCTGGGTGTAGATTTACTTTGATTACGGGTAGCAGGAGTTCTATATGCCTCACTTATCTGAATGTCACTTCCTTTTCCTATTCTTGGGAAGTTTTCCAGTATTATTTCTGTAAATAGACTTCTGTTGCCGTTTGTGTTGACCCCTGCTTTTTCACTCACATCTGTTATTCTTAAATTATGTTTCTTTGGGTTGTCTTGCAGTTGTTACTTGGAATGGTTCCTTGTTAGTTTTAAGAGATCTTTCCTTTCACAACCACAAGCGGCAAAGCTGTCTTCAAGGTTTGAAAGTCTATATTTAGTTTCTTTCAAGCAGTTTTGCCAGCTTTCAATGGAAGTTTTAATTTTCTGGATATCTCTGTGAATCTGATTCATGTTTTCTAAGTCTTTTTTATATTGTTCATTTAAGGTTTCCCTCATTTTTCTATGCTCTTCTATTTTTTATCTATGTCTTCTTTTGAGGTGCTTAGCAATTCTTTTCTTCTTTTACCTGAGATACTATTTCTATTCTAATTTCTTTTTAGACTTATGTTGTTTCTTTACTTCAGTTGCCATCACTTCAGAAATTTTAGGTATGTGACTCCTGATCTCTTCTGTGTTTACATCTCTTGGATCAGCTCTGCTTGGATTGGAGACTAGAGTCTGCCTTTTGCTTTTTCATCTTGACATATTACTGGGTCTTCTGGACAAGTGAGTAGTGGGGTCCCAGGCACTTCCTGCATTGGCTACAATTTCTCTGAAGCAAGACTTTGGTTCTTCAAGCCAGTGCTGGCTATGTGTATCTGATGGTGGCCATTGGGTGTGCTGGTGCAGGGCTTTCTACTGTTTTTACCAGCCTGCACTGGCTCACTGATGGCTGATAGAGTGCACACAGGGACAGGGCTGGCCACTGCCTTCTAGACGGTTACACCCATTTATCATTTTTATGTTTAAAAAGTTTCAAAATGAAAATATATTAGACACAATGAAACCTCCTCTCAGAAGTGTGAAATGGGGTGGGTCAAGGGAACGATGAAAATATGACGGAGTGTGTTATGTTCATGTACAAATCTGCCAAAGTGAAACCCATTAATCTGGCATAACTGATATGCACTAATAAAAATGTGGAAAGAAAACTTTCAAATTCATTTACTCCAGCATTTTGAAACATACAGTACATCACTGTTAGCTATAATCACTATACTGTGCAATAGTACCCCAGAGTTTCTTGCTCCTATTGAAGTGTAACTTTGTACTTGCTAGTCAACCATACCCCCATCCTACTGTCCTCAGCCTCTGGCAACCACCATTCTATTCTCAACTTCTATGAGATCAACTCTTTAGGTTTCACATATAAGTGACATCATGTAGCACTTCTCTTTCTGTTTCTGACTTATTTCACTTAATGATGTCCAGTTCCACTTATGTAGCTACAAATTATAGGATTTCATTCTTTTTATAATTTAATAGTGCTCTATTTTTCATATGTACCAAATTTTCTTTATCCATTCATTAGTTGCCTGGAACCTTGCCAATTACTGTTCCTTTTGTCTGAAGAACTCTTACTCCAAACTTTCACAAGTCTTCACATTGTCTCTCTTTTCAGGTCTTTGTTAAAATGTCACTTCTTCAAAGAGACATCTTTGTTCACTTGAAAGTACCACCTTTGACCCTGTCTCCCTTTTGTTCTATTTTGGGTGTGTGTGTGTGTGTGTGTGTGTGTGTGTGTGTGTGTGTGTGTTTTGGTAGCAATCCTCATCTAGGAATGGATATGTTATGTATTTGTTTAATTTTTCCTATTTGTATTTTCTCTATAAGGTTGTGAACTCCTTGAGGGCAAGGATCTATTTTTTGTTACTTGATATTGTATCCCAGTTGCCTGGAATATGGACTGGCACATAATAAGTTATGGAGAAAAATTAGTATGGTTGGGTAAGCCTAGTCAATCAGGAGCTTTGAACTCAAGATTCAGTGAGCTTATATGGCAGCAAAGAATTCTTGCTATGGAAAGTAGGGAGTCATGGATAAATCTCATAAGATAGATAACAGCTGTTGTTTTGTTTTGTTTAATGCCGGGGACCAAACTCATGATCTCGTGCTTGCCAGTCAGGCACTTATGCCACTGAGCTAAACCCCAAACCCTCAGCTGTCTTTTGAAAAGTGGGAGGCTAGTGTCCTAAAGGATATTAAAATAACTCTGTAGGAAGCAAGTACAACAGTTCCCATTTCACAAATGAAGTAAGGTATAGATATGGAGAAAGTAACTTGATCAAATGAGAAGCTTCCATGAACACTGAGGAAAGATATGTAATTGGCAGAAGGGATTTCTCAAGGTAGCAGTGTTTCAAGGTAGCTGAAACAGCATTACCATGATTGGGCTAGCATGGGGGTTGGTCACCGTAGGGTCCCACTGTGTCCTGAGGGTGTGGTGAGGTATAGTAGAGCTACTCTCATAGCAGCACTATGTGCACTGCCTCCAGCCAGCATGCTTTCCACAAATCTTCCCAAGAACATTTCTTCTAACTATCTTTGCTTAATTTTTTAAAAAAAATTTTTTTGGCATTTTCCCTATTGAAACAAAAATCCATTTGTAACTGATTGCTTGGCTATTGCATCATTTGACCACCAACCTCTCAGGTTAGCCCCCATACTGCACACCATGCCTGTTCCGGTGTGTGTCATTGTTGTTCTGTTTTTGTCTTTGGATACCTAGGTTCCCCATATTAATGATATTGGTCCCTTTGAATGTTATCTGTCTGGAAATCTTATTTCCAGATAACTATAATTGACTAACTCAGTGCTTCTTCTTTGTATCTCCAACTGATTCCATGCTACTTCCTCTAACCTAGCCACTCTACCATGCAGATGTAAGAGGTGTTTGATGGTGAAATGTAAGCTCCAGGGCTACCCCTCAAGGCTTCAAAGATTGTTTATGGCATAAGAACCTTTGTGCTAACAGTGGTGAGGCAACTGAGCAAAGGCAGAAATTCTACCTGTGCTGGGCTTGCTAATCTGTTATATCTGAGTGTCTCTACCTAAAGTCAAAAGCCTTTCTTTAATTCACATTAAGGTATTATATAGGCTAGTGGGGCCCCACTAAACTTTCTTTTCATCTGTACCTCATCCCTTATTCATCACCTCAACAAAGTCCTGATCATCTACCACATATAACAAGCAGTAAAAAGATAAGTACTATTATTAATTATGTACTCCCTACATACAATCAGATTGTTTCTCCCTCTGGTGGTCTCTAAAATCCCCCACCACTGCCACATTCCAGCTTGAGTGATCCCACAAGTGGACTCTGCCTCCATTTTCTTAGTTTCCCAGATCGGGCTCTCTGGTTCACCCCTAATTAACTATTGTCACTCATTTCTTACAACTTTGCTACATATACTTATTATGGGTCACAGTTATTTCTAAAGGAGGATGCAAATGCTCCAGAGGATACTGGAAAAAATTAACAAGGAGTGGTGCAAGAATATTGTAACTCTATAGGTTTTCCTCATGTTTTAATGAATTATATTTACATGCTTCATAATATACTTAGTATATTTGCCTTGTAGTGTATTTATATATGTAAATTAATAAACACACATACTTTGGCAGCACATTATTATGTTTCTCTTGATAAGTGTTTAAACCCTGAAGATAATACGGAGATCATGAAGTTTCAAGTACTTGCTTTAGCATTGGAAGTCCTGCACAGCCTTTCCCTAACTCTCAAGTTGTGTTTCTGACTGCTCTTCTATCTCATCTGTTCCCTACACTCCAGTAAATCAACACATGCAGGTCCCCATGAAAGGGTCTTTGTGCCTTTATTCATTTTGTCTTAGTTCCCCAGCCTCTGCTTTCATCCTGTTTGCTGGTGATCACCTCACATTTCAAACCTCAGGGAACTGACCACTGAACCTCAGATTTCCTGCTCACCCTCATATTCCCACCACTCTACATTCAGATTTCTCTTTTTAAATTTGTTTTTCTTTTTCTTTTTTTATCAGTACCGGGGACCGAACTCACGACCGTCTGCTTGCAAGGCAGGTGCTTATGCCACTGAGCTAAATCCCCAGCCCTCAAGATTTCTCTTTCTTCTTAGCATACTTTATTAAAATTAGTTGCTTCTTTTTTCATGACTTCGATAAGACTGCTGACTGTTTGGGAACAGAGATTGTATACAATCCATTTTTCTCTTTCTGTCATACCCAGTTGAGTGTAAGCCATATAATCAGCATCAGGAAACTACTGTTTATCTTTAGCTAATATTATGAAGTACTTGTTATGTACCTGGCACTGATTTTAGCATACATTTCCACATATTTTATCTAATTTAAGCCTTGAAAGTCAATATTGTTTTTACCTCCATTTTATAGATGTGTAAAATGAGACTGAGAAGCGAAACAATTTGTTTTAGATCTTATAACTGGCAGAACGGGATTCAAACTCAAGAAGTTTGACCTCAGAGTACACACTTCCAATCTCTATGTCCTGCTGAAGGGGCACGCAAAAGAATGAATGTGTACATAAATGAATTATGTGCTGAGTTTGGAAGCAGACTTACACAGTAAAATTGGAGATAACAGTGAGATAAGGCAGATCCAGATCAAAGATGGCACCATGCACCTCAGCATATGGATTGAACAAAACAGATGTGACCAAAGTGTGGGCACATCAAAACAACAGAGTGGAACATATGGAATAGCACATCAGTAGCAGCAAAGAGAGACAATAAGAGGTAAGTTAGGTGTACTCTATCTTTGCTCTAAATAGGCTGACATGTGGGATACCGAGATTCTCAGTCTGGCCCATAGAGTATTGTGGGAGAAAATGAGGCCCAGAAAGGGAATATGGCCTTTGTCATTCATTTAGTGGACCTACCTGCTATTTCAGTAAACTTTAGCAAGTTCCAAAACCAAAGGCTTGCAGAAGTTCATGTACTGAAGGACTTCTAGAACCAGATATGGTAATGTACGCTGGTAGTCTTAATTACTTTGGAGGCTGAAACATGGTTTCAAGTTCAAGCATCCCAGCCTGGACAATTTAGTGACTTAAAAATAAAAGAATAAAAATGGTTGGAAATGTAGTTCAGTGCAAAGAATTGAGTTAAATTCCTGTTACTGAAAAAAATAGATAAGTGCATCTCCAATCTTAATGTGCACATGAATCTCCTGAGAATCTTGTTAAAATTCTAATTCAGGAAGTTTCAAGTGAGGCCTAAGATTCTACCTTTGTAAGAAGCTCCCAGAAGATGCTGCTGCTGCTGCTACAAATAATAGATTTCTTTAGAACAAATGTAAGTAGTTTTAGAATATAACAGAGAGGCTGCTCATCAAGCCTTATTCTGTGTAAAGAACTAAAATAAACATAAAGTCTTTCTTCTCTAAAATTTCAGGTAATTACTTGGCATTCACCCTCATCTTTAACCCTCATATCAGTCCCGTGAGCTAAATACTATTATTACCTACAGTTTATAGCCGAGTCAACTGAGTCCTGGAGACTGAAGTCATACAACAAGTAAAAAGTCATAGTCTTGCCATCTACCTACACACAATGAAGGCATATTTCAAACCTACTAGGGGTCAGTGAAAAACGAAGGCAGTTTGAGATCAAATCAACTTATGTTTAAAATCTGGTTCTGTCACTTCCTTGTCTTAATCTCTGAGCCTCTTTTGCTCTTGATAATGGAGATAGCAATAGATCCTGGTTGCCAGGGATGTTGTGAGGATTAACATGAACAATAACTCTGAGACCTCCTCATGCAGCATGTGACCCCTGGTTCAGCTCAGTAAGTACCAACTGTTTTCGCTAGTCTTAGCTTCTGGGTCATAGGACTTCCCTATTTCTCCCTCCTACCAAGGAGCTAATTTTCTCACAAATAGCAAAAATTTGTTCCCTCATTCCAGAATTGGCCTTTGTGTTTGCTGAGAAGAGGCCAGAAGGTCTCTGGTATGTCATTCAAGGAGAATTGTGAACAAAAATCTGACATAAATGGGCACCTCCAACCAGACTTGGTGCCACTTCTGGCCTGGGTCTGTTGTTCACATCCAGAAGGTCAGGACTTGATTTCCAAACCCTTGGTCTTTTTCAACCTCCATGTAGCCCTTCTTTTGAGAGGGAGACCATCCTGAAGGATTGAGAAGTCTCTGAATGTGGTATTGAGGATCACAAAAGCCAGAATTGTCCAAGAGCTGGGACTGACATCTTGGCTGGAGAATGGCCAGTTCCATAGCTCCATTTATCCCTTCATCTAGCTGTAAGATGAATGGAAACTAAACACTCCAGAGTTCTGGGTCTGTTTATTTGCTATGTTGGCTCAGGGTGGGATTTTTCTTTCCTATAAACACCCACTGGAGACCGGTAATTGGGGCCAGAAAAAGGTCCCTCTGTGCTGATCATTTTAGAAAAGTAGTAGAGATGAAAGAGGGGTTGGAAATGCAAGTCTCCAAACTTGATCTTTTCTGTTAATGACTTTAATCTCAAGAAAGAAGAGATTTATTCAGGGTCCCATAACAATTTCCAGGTCCTACAGACAATGAGACTTGCAAGCTCAGAATAGTCAGACACCAAAGAAGGCCAAGACAAAGCTCATAAAGAATTTAATGAAGTGTTTCAAAGTACAGGTTCTGGGCTCAAAGCATCTGGGTTTAAATGTCAGTACTTGCACTTACTGACTTGTAATCTTAAGCAAATCAACTTACTTCTCTGTACCTACTTCATAAAGTTATTGTGAAGATTGAGTTTGTACTTTTGGCATGCTTGGCACAAGGTAATTGTTCAGTGAATAGCTTCAAAGATGAGGGCAGAATGACACATGAAAAAGGTCAAAAGTATAAGAAGCTCCCTGTCCTTCAGTGATTTGAATTGGTGGGGGAGTAAAGAGATGCATGGGGTGGGGGAGGTGCTGAGATAAAGAGGTCTGCATGGGGTAGAGATGGGAGTCAGTATTTGTCAAACCCTTTTCTTTCTCCTTTCTATCAATAAGCATAGGGATCACATGCATCTCCAGCACCCACTTTCATGGATAGAACTTAAAAGTCATTTTATGAACCATTAGCTGGTGTTCAGTTTTCCCCTATGGCATTTGGCATCACACAAGAAAATCTTTTCATTATGCCACATGGGGCTTCCAAAGCCCATAATTTGCCATCTCCCCCAAATCCACATAAAGTTTCCTGTTGTAATTTCCTCTCAGGGGAGAATAATTGCTAGAGAAGAGCTTTGCTTTACAGCAAAAGAGAAAAACCATGTCAAGCATTAGTCACTTTTCTTACAGTTAAATAGACAATGAAAAACTCTCAAGCAAATAAAGAAAAGGACTGCAGCAAGAAAGTGAAGACTAAAATGAAGAAATAGAAAAACTGGAGAGCAGTTGGGAAATTTGGAAAACCAAAAAGAACTTCAGGGGAAAAATGGTAATATTCTCAGTGACACTGAAGAAGATACTACACACATAAGAACTAGGAGAAACCAAACAAAATAATAAATAGACATCTCAGAAATTAAAGTTTCTAAATTTTTTCTAATAAGTTTCTAAATTTTTAAAAATTCAAGGAAAAAATATAAGCCCCTCTTCCCGAAAAGCACACACACACACACACACACACACACACACACAAACCAGAAGGTATAGGAGAAATATAAGATACATAAATCAGTACAGTAGGTTCAACATTTAAGTAGTAGAAGTGCCAGTCTAAACAAGAAGAAACAATAAAGATAACTTTACAGAATCATATTATAAGTTGATTCCCTACAGCCAAAGAAAGATTTCTAGAGTAAGTGTCCAAGAACTGTGGATCTAGTAAATAGAGGATCCCATTTAAACAATCACTCCAACAATCATCCTTACTTTAACTTTTTAATTCCCTCTTATTCACTCTGTGAATTTATCTTTAAATCCTTTAAAAACTAAACTCAGACTGTTTCTCTTGTCTGTTTAAAACCTCTAGTGGATCCTACCATGGTTTACACATACCCTTGTAAGAGGTATTGGTAAGGTAAGCCCTCATTACTATTTGCTTTCATTTCTTATTAGTTCCATCACTTCTTTCCTGAGCCACCCTAGCAATTCTCACCTTTACATTCCTTTTGCTTATTTTAAAGAGGATAAAACAGAATAAAACCAAACAAATAAACCAGTATAAAATGTGCAGGACTTCAAAACATTACAAAATCAACAATAGTTACAATAATGCCTCTTGGTGTCTTCAAAATAGTTGCAGATTTCAGACACAGTAAAAATCAAGCAGAAAAAAATAGAATAGAAACAATAAAAACAAAATGAATGTAATAAAAGATTTTAAAATAAGCCTATCCTGGGGCTGAGGATTTAGCTCAGCGGCATAAGCGCCTGCATTGCAAGCAGGCAGTCGTGAGTTCGATCCCCGGTACCGATAAAAAAGAAAAAGACAAAAAAAAAAAAAAAAAAAAAAAAAAAAAAAGCCTATACTAAATCCAAAATTTTTACCATAATATATCTTGCTATCTTTGAAATAACTGCTCATACCATCAGATTTGACATAATCAAAACAAGAGATCTCTGACTCCGAACTTCCACCTTGGAGGGTGGCCACTCCACGCCTGCCCTCCCACCTCAGTCCCCAGACCTCCACCTGGAACCTTGGACCTCCACCGGGGAGGGTGGCCAGTCCATGTCTGTCCTCCCACCTTAGACCTTGGACCTCCACCTGGGACCTGCAGCTACCTCCCGCCTCAGATTCCAGACCTCCCCCTCAAACCCCAGACCTCTGCACCTGCCCCCCCCCCCACCGATCCTAGACCTCCAGCTTGGAGGGTGGTGGCTGGGCACCTGCCCACATTCCCTGACCCCCTGGAACTGGTACTGTTTTGGATTTTTGGCTGTCCCTCCCCCTCACAGAATTTGGACTGCAGAGGATTAACCTTGATGGGGATGGGACTCAGTAATCCCTCATCCTAGCAGAGGACCTCAGCAGGCTTCATTCAGTGTGGCGAGTTTGCCCCTAAAATAGAGGACTTCAGTGGGTAAACAGGAGCAGTAGTGAAGTCCCCTCCAGCTGTAAGACCTTGGTGAGCCTGGCAAGAGTGTGAGTGAGTCCTTCTTCCATATAGAGAACATCAGGTAGATTGAGGAGTCTGTCAATAAGGCCTCCCCCAACCTGGAGAAAATTAAAAGGACTTATGGGACACCCAGCAACACAGTAGGGGTCCAGCCAAGACAAACAGAATAGACAGGTAGATCTGGTGTCCTGGAACAACCTGAAGACATAATAACAGCAAGAATTTAGGGTTGCCCTTCATCAATCCTCCTAGGCTAATCAGCCTAAGAAGAATATAGTACTCACCCAACAGGCCCTGGGTACCCAAATCTTCATTGAGGTACCCAGCAATTGCACAAACACCAACCACACAGTAGGACCTGAAGATACACACTACCAACAGTTGAGACTAGTGGGATTAAAAGACCAAATATTAGCCCAAAAGGTGAAATGGCAAAATGAAACAGCAAAATGTAATCTCAGACATCTAGTCCATAAGGATCAAGTACAGGAGACACTGAAACAGAGGACTTTAAAGGCCATATACCCGAAATCTCTGAAAAGATAGCAAGTGAAATAAAGAAACAAATTCATGAGGCTATAGAGGAAATGAAATTAGAGATAATTTCTCATGTAAAGACAGAAATGACATCCTTAACAAAGGAGTTGCTCAGCATAGCTAGAGAATACATAGGTTAAAAA